CCTGTTTGTGATTTTAATATGTTAAAGTTAAAGTCTCCATTTTTGTTTAAACAGAAAAGAAGAAATGGTGCGGGAGGTCCTTCTGAATATGTGTTGCTTTTATTGGTTAAGGAATAAAGAAACTGCCTTTGCCTGGTAAAATAGAACTTAGGTAGGCAGGAAAGACTAAAGTGAATGCTGGGAGAAAGAAGGGCAGAGTAAGGGAGAAACCATGGAGCCACCAGAGATAGATGCTGAGAACTTTAGCCTGTAAGCCACAGCCACATGGAAAATCACAGATTAATAGAAACGGATTAAATTAAGATGTAAGAGTTAACCAATAAGAAGCTAGAGCTAATGGGCCAAGCAGTGATTTAATTAATACAGTTTCTGTGTGATTATTTCAGGTCTAAGCTAGCTGGCTGACCGGGAACCAACAAGCAGCCTTCCACTACAGAGCTGGGATCCAATAAATTCTGTTTATTACAGATCACCCTATCTCAACTATCCTATCACAATAGCAGAAAACAAAGAAAGACAAACCAGTAGTACAGAAAAATTTTAAGATGTGTTCTTGCAATCACATACTAAAATATCAATGTAGACTTTAAAGAGCACCCTGAAAGCTTTTGTTTATAATCCACATGCATTTTCTTTTTTATATAACTTCAATGGAACTATATTTTTTAAAAATTCTATGCAGGCCAAGTAGTGGAGGTTTACACCTTTAATTCCAGCACTCGGGAGGCAGAGGCAGGCAGATCTCTGTGAGTTTGAGCCAGCATAGTCTACAAAGTGAGTTCAAAGACAGCCAGAGCTGTTATACAGAGAAATCTTGTACTGAAAAACTATTAAAAAACTCAGTGCTAGCATAGATTTTAGAGACCATTCAAAATCTTACCAGCTCCTGTTCCATGAACAGGGCTATTCATTATTTGGACAAGAAAACCCAGTGTCATTGGCTACATCCTGTGCTTGTAAGAAGTATGAATCATTCCTTGATTCTACCTACTAGATGTATTACCACTGTGCTGTAACAACTAAAATTCTTACAAGACACTTAGCAATGTCCCTTTGAGAAGCAACTTCTCTTTGTATTTATGCTGTAAAACTCTGTGCTAAACTGTCCCCAGGAATCCCCCTGCACCTAGAATCTATTTGAAAGAACTGAGTGATAGGAAAATTGCTATTAATGAAGATTCCAATTAAACATTTATAACCTGAGCTGCACGTACATTGAGATGATTTTCATGGCATTTGAATCACTGCCCCTCATTATTCAATGCCCTCTACTTCCACCTAAAAACAAGCCATTAATCTGTGATACTCAACTAAAGGCAAGAGCTTCCCAAATTAGTTCTTTTTTTAACTTCTCCACAAAGGTAAGAGTGATTCCTCTCCCAAGTCCTTTCCTCTTCTTTTCCTCCCTCCCATTACTCTTTATTTCCTTTTTTTAAAAAAATATTTTCTATGTGTACATATGTTAAGGTGTCCACAAAGTCCATTGGTTTCCTGGAGCTGCACTTAACAGGCTGTTGTTAGCCACTGAATCAGGGTATTAAGAACTGAACTCAAGTCCTGTGCAAGAGCAAAAAGCATATTTAACTGATGAGCTTGTCTCTTTAGCTCTACTTCTCCACAATTACTAAAAACATATTTCACAAACAACCATGCTCAGTGCTCCTCTAAGTTGAAGCATAAAGTACTAAAGACCAAGATTAAAAGTCAAACCTCCCTCATGCGTTTTATATTCTCCAACAAAAGTAGGGCATGGCAATCCTAAAATATAGTAATAATAATGGTAAAGACTAAGAAAAAAATCAAGGGGAAAGAGTAAATTCTTCTTTTTAAAACCCTCAAGGACTCACAGAGCAGATACTATCTGACAACAGGCAGGAAGAGTCAGGGGTGAGTGAGGAGGTGGTGAACCTGTTGGAAAGTCGTGTCAGAATGGGGACAGCAAGTTGTTGATTCAGCACTTGAGGTATGCTTCATGTTCATCATGGACAGACAATTTAAAGAAACGTATTTCAGAGCTAAAGTTGGGAGGAACTCTTGCCTAATACATTCAGAGCCCTGGGTCCACAACAAGAAAGGAAAGAAGAGACAAAGAAACAAAGAGAAACAGAAGTCTTCATTCTAAATGTGTGCTCTACCTCTAAAACTGAGTTTTGAAAATGTCTAAACATGAATTTTGTGCGTGGTATGGAATTCCATATACCTCTATATTTACTAACCTGTCAGTAAGTCTATTTACATATGTATTTAAAGAAAATATATTTAAAGCAAACCAAAATAGATTCAATATGAATATGGCATTAAGTCTAAGTTTTGTGAAAGTTTATTTTCTTTCTTTTTTTTTCTCACTAAAACTGATAAGAACCCTTAGGTGTTGCCACCTGTGATCATTCTTATGTCCTCCTGGGTCACTCAGCTTTGCTGAGGGACTTTGTTTCTGGCTGCTAAACAGAAAACCCACCTAGTTAAGTGTGGGCTGTTTATTCTTTGTCACAAAGGCCTTAATGATATCTATTAAAAACCCACAGCCTCATCTTCTGTGATACAATGTTCTCACCCCAGGACAGCATTGTTTCTGAGGTGATTCGCTGTCATTATGTACATCTCTCTCTCTCCATTTCTCCCTCCCCTTCCCCTCCCATCCCTCCTTCTCTCTCAGACCCTATGTCCCCCTTTCCCTGTTTCTCTGTTGCATGTATCATCTACCATCCTGGTGTTGCCTCTGAAAGAGCTGAATTTCAGATTGATGGCTGAGGCAGAAGCAGCCACTACAATATGTATCCCATATGACATGATTCCTATTCTTTATATGGCAGCAGTCCACAGAACTGTTTCTCAGCAAATTAAAAATCCCAGGAAAAAAAAATGCTACACTCAGCCTGAAATACTTCTGAAATAAAAGATTTGAAAAGCTTCAGCTTCAGCTTCTGTGATGGAATCTTGGAGGGAGGTGTCATAGCAATGGCTAATGGCCTGGGGCAGGGCTGGCCAGGGGTCAGGAGAGTCCTCTCTGTAACCTGGTGGTAAGGTTTGACAGGAGCTCCAATCTTCATCACCTGCAGTGATGCCTGTACAGATAAGCAGGCTCAAACTTCAACCACATGCACTCTAGTTCTCTGCTCCTCTCTTTCTTGTTCTGAGATTAAGGAGGCATCTTGGTACTGCACACAAGATTTCCAGTCCCTAGAGTCCAGCAGGGCAAAACAAGATAATTATTACAGTTACTATAACTGGCTAGATCTTAGTATTCATTCAATAAGAAAACTTCTCAAGCATATGAAGAAACTAAATGTTTGCCCATTGTGAAATGCCAAGCTGAGATAAGAAACCAATCACCCTAATTTGCAGCACAATGATAAATGCTTTCATTTTAAAGGAAAATAAACTTCAAGGTGACAAGTATAGTTTAGACACTCTTGTAATCTATAACATGCAGTGCATTATCCCTCTACATATTCTCTTGATAGTATAGAGCAGTTATAAAATATGATTCTCAACTGTATACGACCTCCATCAGGTTTGAAGGGGAAGATCTTTGTTCTACGTGAAACACTGAAAAATCATTGTGCATGTGTGTGTGCATGTGTGTGTGTGTTTATGTGGAGACCAGATATACAAAACCACAACGTAGAAGAGAGAATCACTAGAACCATTTAAATGAAGGACTAACAAATTTGGGTTATATTTTCACTGGACCACCCCTATGCATATGCTAATAAGGAAAAGATGAAGAAATGGATCGTAGTTCGGTGGGTACCATGAGGTAATAAGGATGAACTTATGACTTAAACTATTAAACTGTTAAGGATTAAACTACTCTAAACATATTTTGAAGACACTGATGATAGATTCAAAGTGGAAGCTGCACGCTAAAGAAGGTTCGAGGATGACATCAAGGTTAACTGAGAAAACGTAAGACCTGAGATTTATTCTAGTTGATACTGAATCACTAATCACCTGCCAAAGTCCAGATTTCCAATATACACATCATCATTATAATATGTTTTGCTATATAAATAAGTCTAAAAAGAGACCCCCTTACATCATGGCAAGTACATAGACACAAGGTGATATAGTGAAGATCATACCCACAGCAGAAGCTTATGAGAAAGGATCATAACAGTTGATCTTTGCTGCTAAATTTGATTTTACACATTACCACACCCTAGGCCAGCTGAAACATCCAGCCAAAATTACTATTTCATTTGTAATTATTTATCCACAGGTTAAAAACCCACTGAATATCTCCCATAATTGATGGAGGTGGGCCTTGTATCTTATCTGTTGCTTTCATTGGTTAACTGATAAAGAAAACTGCTTGGCCTGATAGGACAGAAAATTAGGTAGGTGGAGTAAACAGAACAGAATGCTGGGAGAAAGAAGCCGAGTCAGTCAGTCGCCATGATTCTCCCACTCCAGACAGCTGCAGGTTAAGATCTTCCCTGGTAAGCCACCTCGTGGGCTACACAAAATATTAGAAATGGGTTAGATCAATATGTAAGAGCTAGCCAATAAGAGGCTAGAGCTAATGGGCCAGGCAGTGTCTAAAAGAATACAGTTTCCATGTAATTATTTTGGGTAAAGCTAGCCAGGTGGCGGGAAGCAGCCCGCCGCTCCTATTACTACACATAATTCCATAGCTATGCTTAGCATTTATTAACACAACAAATATCACTGAGTGTTTGTGTACAAAATCATAACGTAGAGAAACAAACAAAACACCCCACTAGACTACCTCTAAAATAAAAGATAACACTGAGGAGAACTCAAGTCTTATATAGCAAACAACTCTTTTGCTTTATTTCTTGTCCCAAGTCAGACAGATAATAGGTGCAAAATAAAATCACAGCCAAAGGGACTTCTACTTATTAGATGCTCACAAAAGATTTCACAGGGGTACATTTGAAAATGTTCCAGAAAAGCAGATGTGCACCTTCAGTCCTTGCTGGCTGAGATAAGCTTTTCAATAACATCATAGAGCGTCACGTCACTGTATCCCTTACCTTGGTGAGATGACTTATTACAGTCAATCTGGTGATGTCATTTCTGCTACTGCAGAAATCATTTTGAAGCAATGGAATTGATATGAGCCACAAAAAATATGGCCACTGGTTTCCCTTTCTTGCTAACAAATACATATGTTTCTCGTTGACTTTCTTCCCATCAGTGCAGGCTGTTCTAATAGAATTCAGTGATGTCATGCTTCTGAACTTGAACAATGCTGACAGCACTGAGATGCAGGAGGTCACTGGATGAGCGGGAATATGAGCACTGCTTTTGCTTGCCTCGCATACTGCTGCGTTTTCGTGACACACTTGGGGTCATGATGAATTCTTTCCACGTCTTCTAGCAGATGAAGCCAGAAAATAACAACAAAAAAATCAAATACAGGAGTATAATTTTATTTTACATCTTGAAAAAGACCTGCCCAATAACTATTTCGAAAGATTTCTCACACAGGCTGCTGTTCTCCAGAGGCTGACTTAGTTATCCATGCTGCTGTATCTCCTATCTTCATCTCCTTCAAGGGCTTTGTCCTGATTGGTTCTGAACATGGCACATAACCTATTCGCCAGTTATTGGCCTGAATTAATCATGGAGCTCCACAAGAAAATTGGAAAAATTCCAAACACACATTTCCATGTGTTTGTAAAGGAGAGTCAAACAAGGGTATAAGAAGTATATTTACATAATCTCTTTGGCTACTAGAATAAATTAAGCTAAAACATTGTAGTGATGAGGCGAGCAGGCCTGCTTTTCATTCCGCCAGGCTCTCGCATGGCTAGCTTAGCCAGAATAATTACACGGAAACTGTATTCATTTAAACACTGCCTGGCCCATTAGTTCCAGCCTCTTATTGGCTAATTCTCACATCTTGCTTTAACCCATATTTAGTAATCTGTATAGCACCATGAGGTGGTGGCTTACCGGGAAAGATCCTAACCTGTATCCATCTTGGGTCGGAGAATCATGGCATCTGCCTGACTCTGCTTTCTTCCTCCAAGAATTCTGTTCTGTCTACTCCACCCATTTAAGGGCTGGCCTATCAAAAGGCCAAGGCAGTTTCTTTATTAACCAATGCAAGTAACACATAGACAGAAGACCCTCCTACATCAAAACGTAAACTCCCCAGCAGGTCAATCAATAAGTACTAGTCATATTTTATATAATAGTACCACATTAAAGGTTTTGATAAGTAGTATAAAGAACAGAAGAATATTAAAATACCTAGATGGATTGGGGAAGTAGAGCGGTAATGACCCCAGTGGCTAAGGTCATTTGTTGCACATTATGAGAAAAAAAGTCAGAACCCAAAACCCACACAACAAGCTAGGCATCCTGCAACTGCCTGAAACTCCACACCTTATACTCTCACATGTGCATACACACATACATACACACACAGAGACACGTAAACACACACATACATACACACACATACATACACACAGAGAGATACGTAAACACACACATACATACACACACATACATACACACAGAGAGATACGTAAACACACACATACATACACACACATACATACACACAGAGAGATACGTAAACACACACATACATACACACACACAGATACGTAAACACACACACAAACACACACATACATACACACACATACATACACACACATACATACACACAGAGACACGCAAACACACACACAAACACACACATAATTTTACTTTTTTGAAGAAGATCTTGCTTGTTAAAAGAAACCACATACAAATGTTTTAAAAAGTTATTCAGTGAGCTAAGTAATTGTACATTAAGTTATGATAATTTATGATAAAATAAATGTCTAAGAGGGAAGAAATAAGAAACAACTCCAACCGAAGTGATTCCTGGAAAGGGAAATTTGTCTTCACAATTAGAATAAGATCTGTCTTCACAAGTCCCTGGGTTCAATTAACAGTGCCAAAAAAAAAAAAATATTTTTAAGAAAGAAATGATGGAAATGGAAGAGAAAGGAGATCTGTGTCGTGATCTGTCATGTTTTGAATGTCTGCTCTAAAACTCTTGCTCAAGTTAAGCAGCAATGGTCCTGAGCAGTGAGATCTTTAGAGGACAAGGTCGTGAGAACTCCACCTCCATGAATGGATGAATCCCACCACTACAGGCTATTGTAAGAGAGGTTGATTTAAAGAAGCCTGGGTTTGCCTTAACACATGATAGAACTGAAGAACAATCTGTTGAATGGCAAAGTCAGTGAGCTAAAAGATGAGCATAGAAAATAGACTCTGATGAAATTGCCTGTGGAATCACATGGCTTTTATTCTAAGAGCCCAACTGAACTGCATACCTTTACCAGTGTGTGAAATGCCTCCCTGTGCTGTCTGATTTCACTATCTACATAATTCCTGGCATCACTCTCATCTTTCCTACTTCCCCAGCCCCCACCCCATCCCACCCCAGCCAAGTGGATCACTTGATCCATGGTTTTTTAATAGAATCAGCTCGGAAAACAGAACAGTTTTACCTACCTCTTCTGTTGTGGAAGGAGTATGAAAATCCACACCAACTTGGTTCTTGTCATCCCTTAATGTAGACAATTTTGTTTGTTGTTTGATTGATTGGTTGGGTTTTTTCAAGACAGGGTTTCTCTGTGTAGTCCAGGCTGTCCTGGAAATTGCTCAGTAGTCCAGGCTGTCCTCAAACTCAGAGAGCCACCTGCCTCTACCTGGGATTAAAGGCATGCACCACCACTACCAGGCAGGGTAGACAGCTTTATTCCCAGAATTAAAGGCATGCACCGCCGCCACCAGGCAAAGTAGACAGCTTTATTCCTGGAATTAAAGGCATGCACCACCACCACCAAGCAGGGTAGACAGTTTTATTTAAACTTTATGCGTGGTAATATTTAGGTTTAGTGAGATTAAACTACTTTTTCCAAGGTAAAATTGGCTAAATTCTTATATTATGTGTCTTTCAAATTTATGTGTCTGACTCTAAAATTCATCGCCTTTTTAACTTTTAAATTTCCAAAAAAGTCAGGCTATATAGGATCCCAATCTTGTTCCAGAATTTTTATCAGGTAATCTTCATTTTGAATTTTAAAGTAGCTAATTTTCCTAATGGAGACTTTCCTAATGTTTCCGTACCATATGGTGGTACTGAGCTACAGTCGTTCACAGACCACATTAGGGAAACTCGAACATAATTCACTACGCACTTGTCAACATTAACCCCACTCTGGTACTCTGCAAGAAATTAAGCTAAGACCACCCAATTTGTTAAACTGAGCCTAAAGTGTTTTTGACCTCAGCAACATACCAATACCCATAAGGTGAAACATGCTTTGTTCTGTTCTCACCCTGCTGGACAAAGCTGTTCCTTTGGAATCCATTGAAAAACACACATTTTAAAAGCATCTGCCCATATTGCTATGCAACAACAGTTCTCAGCAGACCCTGTTTAAGATGAATAGAAATGCAGGATGTGTCTATCACATGGAGCAAGGCACTAGAGATTAATGAGAACAGATGTTCCCGGGAGTTGTGGGGAAGAAACAATGGAAAGCCTCTCTGCTCTTCCTATTGATTTCCCTGCCTCTTGTTTTCTCAAACACCCTGCATAATACAATAAAGTACACAAGTAAAACTCCTCCGTACAACTCAGAATGTGTTATATCCATGTTGCTAGGTGACCACAGAAGCAATTTGTGACTGTGACAGGAATTTCAAAGACCTCTCTTGGTTCAAGAAGTAAATAAACAACATACAAATACATATGAACTATCCATAATAAAAAGAACTTAAGATATGATTCACATCATAAAAAAAATACTTCTTTTTAAAGGAAAGTGGACCAGTATTGAAAGCAGAACCACAAATGAATCTGAATTTTAAGGTAAAGTGGAAAATGATCACCTCTAACCCAGAGTGCTGTTTGCATTTCCCACAGACCTGCCTTGTTAATTAATGCCTTTATAGGCAACCCTGCTCTCAAGATGATGGCTGATTCTGAAATCCCCAGTGAGAAGCATCTCACTTTGAAAGCCTATTTCCATCCACAGAAAGTGATAGTCAAAGGGCTGAGTCAGGGAACCCATCAGCACTAGCCTTTCTGTCCCCCGCACACCTCAGAAGTCCAAAGAAAGACCAAGTGTATGTGAGGGGAATGTAACTACCCCCTCATCATCTGAAATCCCTCCGTGGTAATCACCAGGAAGCTGTTGGGAGAAAGAACATTTAATCTAAATGTAAAGCAGAAGTACTCTCGGCCTTCCAGAGTTCAGTCCACTGATGGAAAACATGTCATCTTCTTGCTTTTTTCCTTCCTGAGGATGAGTCGGGGTGCTCAGCTCTGAAATTCATGAGCACACCCCTGCTTTCACCTCCCCACAAATAGATAAGAGGCCTGTAATTTTGTCTCAGAATGAACACCCTGCAGACACAATGATTTGTGGCAGGTAATGCAATTGATTCCAACAGGGAGATGTGAGATCATAGGTGATGTGAGCAATCAGTCTGTAAAATAAAATCTCTTCAGGTACAGACAAGGCATGGCTCAGGCACAGGGCACTCATACCACAGGTACCCGCTCTAGCGACTGCCTCTTGATAAAATCGTAGTGACGCTGGGCCTAGGAAAAGAAAACATTTTAAGGGGATTAACGGGGGGAGAGGGACTTGCATTTCAAACAACTGTTATAAGTCTCTGCTCTGCAACAATTTAGGAAATAAATATTTTCTAGAGACTTCTTATATAAGCTGTTGCTTTACCTCCATGCTATGAGAATTAACCCCTTAAAACTCTTCTATGTTTTCACTCCTCTCCATAATAACTAACAATTTTTTTGGAAGAGAAAGAGGTTTTTTTCAAGTCTTGAAGCTCCCTTCCATGGATCTGCTATGATACCAACAGTCTGGCTCTTCTACCTGTTCAGGACTTTTGATTAGTATAATTGGAGGCTCAGTTTGGCCTTTCTCCCTGGACTAAACTTATAGAAAATTTCCTTTTTTTCTCTTCTGGAATTCTTATCTGACTCAGATACTCAGTGTTCAAGAGATTACGCCTGGACAGAAGAATGTAATGTATCACTGCAGGAATATTTCTCTCTCCCTGTATACCTCTATCATCTCAGCATGTGTCTTCATCTGTAAGTATCCTATTCCCCCCACCTCACTAGTTTACCCTCACACAGAAGGAATTCTCTGCACTGTCTGTATCATCAGGCTCATCAAATGTAACATGCCAAAAATGCATTCTAAAAAATTATGTCTATACACATAGATTTGTGCTGTTATTAACTTTGATCAGAGAAACGTTTTAGTTGTGGGTAATAATGTAGAGACTCATGACTGGTCAAAGTGCTGAGTATAAATAACTGAGTGTTTAGCTTTGAAGGGGTCATCTTTATTAATCGGTCCTCATCCGTGTCTCAGGGAACTTCACAGTCCCAGGAAAAGAATAAGAAGAATGCAATTGCTGACAGGTGGAAAGGAGGTCATGGGAGAAGACATGACATCAACTCACTGCAGCTGGGGTCACCTGCCCACAACCTGCATGAACACAAGCCAATCAAAATTCCAGCATCAGTAGGGGAGGGCTATCCAAGACCTCAGACCAATCAGAAGAGTAACTGGCATGAAGACCACTGAAGGGGGAAACGTCACTTTCTTTTGCAGATGTAGTTGATGGTAAGTTGCTTATGCCTCAATTGAAGGCCATATACCAATGTACTTGGGGGCAGAACTAAATAGACTCAGAGTTATTAATAATAAAAACAAATAAAAAGAGGACATGGAGCTGAGGGACTATGGATGGGAGTACAAAGGGACATTGGAAGAAAGCAGTAATAAATGGGTACAGGCAATATAATTGCATAAATGTGTGGAACATTCAAAGACTAAAATACTCTTAAAGAAAGGAGTTCTTTATTTTGTACTATATTGTACAACTTAACATTATAGATAATGTAAGAAATATTTAGACATGATTTCCAGTCTCATTACCCAATTCCTGTCAGAACTAATATAATTTCTGAGTTTTTTTACTAAAACTCAGAAATTTCAAGTTGTACGTTAGTAAAATTACAAACATTAAAACCACATATGTAACACACACAGACACAAAGAGAGATAGAGAGAGGGAGATGAAATTTGAGATTTTAGTTAATGATACCTTTTATGTATATTCACATACATTAACCCTCAAGATCTGCTGCTCTGCTTCTCTGGAATTCATATACTGAAAGAATCATTTAAGTTGGTTTCAGACTTAGTGATCTTTAAGTGGATTGGCCATTTAATCTGAATCAGAAAATATTTGGAGTGATGATGGACAGTGGGAACACTTTGTAATGATGCTAGAACAAATTGGACCCAGGGTTGTTCTAGAAAATAAGACCCTATTTTATTGCACTTATTAAATGAGACTTTCCAACCTAAGGATGTATGATTTCTCAACTCTTTTGTCTTTTTCCTTCTTTGCTCTTGATGAAATTCTAACACAGTTGCCTAACATAAATGAGAAACTCTATTAACAAAGGTCTTAATTAACTCTCCTATTAGCATATAATTAATTTTACAAAATAATTGGTTTCATTATATTTTCATGCACATATAGAAGTACTTATATCACACAGCCCCACCTGTATTAACTAATAAGCTGTTTAAACAGATTAAAATATCTCAATTGTGTCTATGACCACATATTTGCCTATGTTCCAGTCTTTTCTCTATGAAAATTCCCTAAAAGTGAGTACTTTACTTGCTCAGAGAAGTATTTAGATGGTTGCAGGCCTCATGTAACCCCAAAATAATTGAGCCCCAAACTTCTTTGTGATCAGCTCTGCCTGGAACGCTTTATTCTGGAGCTGACACAACCGTTGTGGGTGGTATTGAGAACATCTGTCCCCAGGATTCCCAAAGAACAATGTCATGAATCACTACACCCAAAAGACTTCAATTTTACTTGAGGCCTTAAAAGTCCCAGAAGATGTATTAAAGATTCACTTCCAGGATATTTGCAGTAAACAATTAATGTCTCATGACCTAAGACTGACAAGAGTTGTTATGTTACTTTAGGGAAGCAAGACAATGGAGCTCCTTGGGACAATTGCTCCCCTCAGAACACTCATTACCGGAAATCTCCAGAGAAGACTGAATCTCATAAAAGTTTTTCTCTGGGTTGGGACTGTTGTTGAAAGATTAAGTGCTCATCTAGTATGTGTGAGGTCCCAGGTTCAAGCCCTGGCACTAAAAGAAAAAATATTTTCCATAAAAGGAGAGGAAACGTTATTGTCTGCTGTCAAATTCCAATCTCTCCTCTAAGCAAAACTACATGTGTTTAAAGAAAAGCTCAGTAAAGGAATTTGTGATTTTTGCTTGCTTCTAAGAAAGTTAATATAATCCATGAAAATAATACTTGTAACTCAACTAAAGGTTATGAATCTAAAATTTTTCTTTGGTTGGTTGGGTTTTTTGGGGGGTGAGATGCAAATGTCTTGGGTGAGATTATTGTCTTTGTGTTGAGTTTCAAAATTAAAACCAATCAAGAAGCCAGATTGCTTAGACTCCAAGGCTCTAGAATGGTGTGAAATGAAATAGCAACCTTTTCTTCAAAATCCTTCACCTTGGAACTAGGAAATGATTCAGTGGTTAGCAGCATTTGTTGCTAATGCAGAAGATCCTGCTTCAATTCCCAGCACCTACATAGTAGCTCATAACCATTCATAACATCAGTTCTACAGAATTCAATGCCCTCCTTTGATCTCTACTGGCACAAAACACATATGAGATACATGGACATACAAGAACACAAGCACTCAAACACATAAAATAGAAAGGAAACTTTAAAAATGTAAATGAAATTGTGTTCGGTTTTAGTTATAAACTGTAAGCAACATCATTTAACCTATCAAGCATTAAGCTCCTTTCAAATGTGATGGACAGCAAAACAAGAAGAAAATAGATGCAAAAATTCCCTCTACTCACTGTTGCCATTTTTCTCATAATTATTTCTCTGGAAAGCACTTTATTTTTAGCCTATTTCCACCACTTCATACTTCCCCTGTCCTTTATAGGTAATTTATAATCAGAAAGTAAAATGTTTACTACCTCGTTTTTTATGTTGACATTTAGAGTAGTTTCGTATTGATATAGCTGTTGTAAAGATACAAAAGTGTTTCCAGCATAGCCAGATTTGAGTTTCCTTGTTTTATTATATTATTTTAATATAGTGCATGCAGCATGGCCAGTACATTTGCATATGTGTATATATATGTGTGGATGCACATGTATGTGTATATGTGAATGTAGAGGCCAAACAACAACTTCAGATGTCATTCCTCAGGTCTATACACCTTTGTTTGTTCTGTTGTTATTTGTTTATTTAAATGGAGTCTCATGTTTACTGACCTAGAACTCACCAAGTAGACTAGAAAGCTGCCCCATAATCCAGTTTGAAAATGGGAAGAAAAGAAGATACAAGAAAATCAGTATCTGACTACACATCCCTCATTATTTTTTCCATAAGTCACTCAATCACCTAAGATAGTCCAACTCCATAGACTTTTATTTTCCATAAACAATGATTCTCTGGACTATCCTTATGCATGAAACCTTTTATGATGAACTAAGAATTTAAAACAGTCAGTATTTAGGGGGAAACTTAAAAATGGCAGAGATAACACTGTACTCTATACTATATAGGGAAACTATCTTTAGAGAAAGATGGGGTTAGATTCCCAGAAGTATACATATTATGCGAGTACTTGTGAGACATGAGGATTTTATTAAGTTAAAATTAGCATTTGATTTTTAAACTTCTATTTTCTATTCTTTGAGAATTGTATACATGTACACAAATCATTTGGGTCTAACCACCTCCCTCCAATTTCTTCCAGATATCCTACCATGTCCTCATCTCAGCTTTACATTCACATTTTTTTCCTTTATAAACTACTGAATCCAGTTAAGCTGCCCATTAATCACATCTGACTTAGTCAGTGTTTTATTGTTGCAGAGACACCATGACAACTGCAGCTCTCAAAAAGGAAAACATTTCATTGCGGTGGCTCACATTTCAGAGGTTTAGCCCATTATCATCACAGTGGGACATGGTGGTGTGAAGGCAGATATAGTGTGGAGAAGTAGCTGAGAGTTCTTCATCTGGCACAGGTAACAGGAAGTGTTCTGATTCACTGGATATGACCTGAGCATATATGAGACATCAAAGCCGGCCTCCACAGTGACACACTCCTCCAGGACGACCACATCCATTCCAACAAGGCCACACCTTCCAGTAGCGCCACTCCCTTTGGGGGGCATTTCCTTTCAAACCACCACAGTACCCTTGAACATGAGTGTACAACCATTCATTTGGGGCATGAAAAACCAATGGTAAATCATAACTCCAAAGGAAAGTGACTCTTCCTTCTACAGCAGCCATCAACTGTCAATAATTCAAGGTTAGAGTCCTCATGATCCCTTTCTCATCCATGATGGAATGTTAACTGGCATGATCTTGTGTAGGTGTTGTGTAGGCAACCACAGCTGCTGTGAGTTCATGTACACAACATCCCTGTTATGTCCAGAGGACACTATTTCATGTGAGTTCATGAGCATAGAATCCTTGTGATGTTCAGAGGACACTATTTCATGTGAGTTCATGAGCACAACATTACTGTTATGTCCAGAGGACACTATTTCATATGAGTTCATGTGCACAGAATCCTTGTTATGTCCAGAGGACACTATTTCATATGAGTTCATGAGCACAACATCGATGTTATGTCCAGAGGACACCATTCTACGTGTGTCCATGAGCATAGAATTCCTCTTATGTATGTCTAGAGGACACTATTTCACAGCAGTCTTTCTGAAACTCTAATTCTCCCAATCTTTCTACCCTGTCTGTCCTATACAATGCTTCCTAAACCCGATGCATTATGTGGTACAAGTATCCGATTTGGGGTTCAGCATCCTACAGTGATTTATTCTTGGCACTCTAACTAGAGCCCCTGTGTTAGCTGCCATCTATTACAATTAAAAGGTTTCCCTATAAAAGATATAAACTGTGCTGATCTCTGAAAGTATAAGGATATATATTAAGATAATAGCTTGATGTTATCTGAAAGCATTTTACTAACACAATATCAAAATTAAAATTCAAACACAAATTGCATATGATATATACATATATATTACATATGTAGACTTGAACCTTTAACTTTATCATGTTCAGAGCTCTAACTATAAGCCATAAAGATTTCTTTTCATATAATTCTAGTGATATATATGTATATTAAAAGATTCATATAGCTTAGAGGTAAAGTTCTGAGGTTATGGGTTTGATTCCTAGAACTACAAAGAAATAATCAAGACAAAACAAAGGTTGTTATCACCACCATCTTGGCTGTAGCTCTTGATGTTGGTCCTTTTAGTTCTAGAATTTCTTCCTCAAATTAACACACCTAGAACTTTCATGACGAGACAATCTTCCCAAACTTTACCTTGCAGTCAGAGGACAGGTGAGAAAAAAATAATGTTGCCCTGTACCATTCTTTAGTTACTGGGAAAAAAAATAAAAACATCGATTTTAATGAAGAATACTGGACAATGACTTGTGGAGCTTTGCTTGGTCTTCCCTAAACTCTATGAGACTCTAAGCTAGTTATGCAGCTTAAATGGAAGCTTTTCTGTTTAAAATGTAGGAGTTGAATTAAATGACTGAGGTCTCTTGAACTATAGCACACCAAGAGTCTAACATTTTATCTCCCAAGTTATAGAGATGAAGTAAACAGTATACTTTCTCCAATCGTTGCTCAGTGAGACAGATTACTCTAATGTGGATTCTATTGTACATAGAATGGATCTACTCATTGCTCCTCTATTCCTGTTTCTCTAAAGCACCAATTACAACATAATCCAAAGGATTTCCATCACTCAGCAACCCAGGATACAAGTTGAGCCTTTTCATCAAGACGTCAAATTTCCTCTAGGCTTGGTTTTGAATGCCCATCACCTCAGCAACTTAAACAGCTGAGGCAGTGAATCTCCAGTTTGAGGACAGCCAGTGCAATGTAAGCTACATAGTGTGACTGCCTCAAAACACAACGGAAGACTTTAAATTCTGACAACCCCACCTAGAGCCATTTTCTTTTTCTTATGTCTTTCTGAAGATCAATTTGAAACTTGGAGTTCTAATTTTCTAGGGTATTGGTTTCTCAAAAGTGACCCTGATTAACATTAAAGGTCAAATAATTGCTATTTTTGAGATAACACAGTTACCAAAAATGGTGCATTAGCAAATAATTTTAAATTTTTGAATGATTATATTACTATTTTGATGTCTCAAGAATAGGGAGATGGTGGATTAGCTTTTCTGTTGCTGCAACAAAACACCATTAACCAAAAATAACTCAAGTAAGAGTTTATTTTTGGGCTGTGGTTCCATTGGGTAAGAGTCCATCATGTGGGGAGATATGGCAGTAAGTGGCAGGCATGGTGACCACACAAGGACACTGAGAGCTCACAGTTTCAAATGTAAACATGGAACAGAGAGAGAAAACTGGGACTAGGGTGAGGCTATGAACTCTGAAAATCAATCCTTGGAGACATAATTGCTCCAGTAAGTCTGTGTTACTTCAGCCTTCCCAAACAGTGGTAGCAACTGGGAACCAAGTGTCAAACATCTGAGTCCATGGAGAACATTTCTCATTAAATTAAGAGAGGGCTGTTGCATAACCAGGGAACAATGACTATTAACGTCTCAAAATGTGTCATGAACTGATTTTAAATACAAAGCCTCAATGACAGTACAAAGATGTGTGGAGCTATTTGAAGGCAGAAGGCTGGAGAGTGTTGTCACCTGCTTGCCCTACATTTATTTGTCTTTAAGAGAGTACCATTAGGGTTCCTTCCATCCTTAATGAACTGCCATGAGCACTCTTGGCCCTACCCGAGAGGGTGAAAGAGGGCGGAAAAGAGCAAGGGAGAAAGCGAACAAACTGCAATAAAAAACAAAAGGGTAAAAAGATATAATTCAGTATTGGCACCACCATAAATGCAGCCTTACAGCCTGCAAAAAATATAAAGGAAAAGAAATCACTAAAGCAATAGTTAGGAAGTCTGCCTGTGAACAGAAACACTTAACTTTTTATGAGCAGTGGATACGCAAGTCCAGAGACAAAGAAGCTTCGTGAGTTGATGGACTAATGCAGATCACCTGAATAAGAGGAGGCACTGGGTGAATTTTGATATAAAGTGAATTGAAAAATTAAAAGTCAAAATAGTATTGGGTAAAATATAAAACCTTTCCACTATAAACCCTAAAAAAAAGTCATCAAACTATCAAAATGAGTTGGGGATAAATCATGTAGGCAAAGGAAATAAGATTGCTGGGTTTAATATCACTATCAGGAAATTGTGTTTTATTATCTCAGCATTGAACTCTGAGCAACATAAATTTAGAATGAATAAAAATATATCACATATATAATCAAATGATAATGCCAGAGAGTATTCTTTTTTTGTACTTCTTTTTCTCAACCACTTTTTATTGACTCTGTCTTTCACATCATGCAGCTCGATCTCATTCATTTCCCTCTCCCTCCATATCTGCCCTTGCAACCTCCTCCTCAAAATAAAATAAAATCTAAGAGAAAATAAAAAAGAAAAATCAGTCTCATCCTGGAAGCTGCAGTGTGACATGGAGTCAGTCACACAGTAAACTCATTTAGCCATCTATCTTTACTTGCAAGTGTTCATTGCAAATGTTCATTGGTCTGGTTCGGGGCCTCTGGATTCTGCTACACTATCGAGGCTGGGCCCTCCTAGGACTGCTCTTGGCTATCCTATAGTTTCCCTGTGTCATGGATACTCTGCAGTTTGGGGTCTGCAGGACCAGCCCCTTCACATGCTCTAGCAGATCATAGATGAGGTGGATGTTGGGGTGAGGTAATTCATAACCTGGTTCTGGATCTGAGTAATTCCAGGGTTGGTCACCCACCAGCTCCCCCTTGTCTTTACCACCAGGGTGAGCTCTCTGACATTACCCTGCCTAGTTACCCCTTGCAGCCATGAGCAAAGAGCAGTTCCAATTCTCTTGCTTTCCTGCCCTCAGGGTCAGCTGTCCCACACCTTCACCATCAGGACCAGCTCTACTGTGTTACCAGCCTAGGTATAACGGCCACTCTCCTGAGTGCTGCAGCTGGTGAGGGCCTGGGACAGCTCTCCCACTCTGAAGACCTCAGGGCCAGAGCTCTCACGAGCCATAGGCCGTGAGGGTGGGCTAGGGCAGCTCTTCCCCACCCACACCACCACATGGCAAATGTTTTCTCCTCTATTTAATCAACTAGAAATATCATTTGTTGTGGTGAATGAGTCTCCCATGGTTGGTCTGTGAGCGGTCTAACTGGGAACAGAGGTACCCCTGACCTCTGTTAGTTTACTTGGAGCTGACAACATGGCTCCTCACTTAATAGCGTGGGTCTGGGTTTCATGGAAAAGGGAATGGGATGTGGCAGACCCTCTTCCTTCTTCTTCCTTCAGCTTTAGACATTGGTGCTCAGTTGTCGAGCCATTCCAGACTGGTTCCAGTTCAAGACATTATCCAACTCATGGCTGTTCAGTCTCTTGCTCCTAGTCTTTGTTCATCTTAATGTTTATCTTAAGCTTTTCCGGCCTGGCCTGCACCGCAGTCTGTTCTGTGAGTTCCAGCTTTACTTATTTCTTAAGGTTAAAACGAAATAGCCTGTTTGTCTCCTGTGATCTCTGCTTTGATTATATCTGCTGTTAGTTCGGGTCGAAATCTGTCCTACCCAGAAATCTCCTGTCTGGCTTGTCCTCGTGCACAACGTGAAGCTATCACAGATCTTTTAAAACAGCAGTCTCCTACTCTGCTCCTTTATTTTAAGGTTCATGTCTCTACCTTATTTCTAAACTTCTGGGCCCCAGCTCATTTGCAGAGCAGAAGCTTCCAAACTCATTGCTCAGGGTATCTGGTTTACAAAGACAAGTTTAGGAAGCTTTCTACAGCTACACCAGGATACCAGAAAGATGCTGCCAATAGCAATGTATAGACACAGTAAAATATTACATATCAGGATTTGAAAAAAGGTAAAATTTTGTTATGAAAGGCTTGACTTATTCTTTTTCAGGTCTACTTCAATGCCTCCTTTAAAGAAGATGTTTTAGTGTTATCTTTATACTATAAAGATGTTTAAAGGTATAATGACACATTTCAGGGATAATCATCCAAAAATTGTATTAAATATATGCAGATAGAGTACCAGTTATCTGTAGATGGAAGTCATAATAAAAATGTACACGTCACATGATAATTCAAATTGATAGATTAATTTAGAAAAATGTACACTGGGGAATTATGCAATTATAATTTTTTAACTTGAAAATAAAAATAACAAATGGTTTAAATAATGACTAGGTAGACATTTCTAAATTCTTACCCATTTTTGAAAGTTTTTAAAAATCTTTAACTTAATGGAATAGAAAATTTGAGATTAGGAAAATATTTCATGGTGATCATATAACCTACTGCATTTAGAATTATCAATCTCATGTGGAACGACTGGGGTTTTCTTGAAAAGCCTGTTGATGATGATATGAATAAAACTTTTCATTAGTAGTGATGATTCTTAATATGGAAACATCAAATACAAACACCTTTGTAAGTAAAGTTGAGTTCTTTTCTCAGGTCTAAATCATGATGAAACAGTGATTCCCTCAGAACACAGAAAAATCCAATGAGGCTACTAATTAACTTTTACAGATTATCTTAAAATAATAATTTATAAAAGAAAACTAGATAAGAATCCTTTCTAAGTCTCCAAAAGTAGAGAAACAAAACTTGTAAAATAGCTACCAGCATGTATTTTTATCCAAAAATACACTTGTTATTCCAACACTCAGGAAACTGAGGGAGGAGGATTTCAAGTAGAAAGCAAGCCTGGGCTGCATAGGGAGTTCATTGTGAGCCCAAGCTGTCCGGTGAGACACAGAGAAGACAGTTGAGTGGACAAAGCACTTGCTATGCAAGCTTGGGTAATGGAATCGGGATATCTGGAACCCACGTATGGTGTAAGAGATCCTTTTCTATTTGTGTTGCTTTCATTGGTAAATAAGGAAACTGCCTTGGCCTTTTGATTGGACAAAACTTAGATAGGTGGAGTAGACAAAACAGAATGCTGGGGAGAAAGGCAGTGTAGCAGACGCCATGGTTCTCCTGCCCGAGACTGGCGCTGGTTAGACTCATGCCGTAAGCCGCAGTCAAGTGGCGGTAGACATTGATGGAGATGGGTTAAACTAATATGTGACAGTTAGCCAATAAGAGGCTAGAAATAATGGGCCAGGCATTGCTTAAATGAATACAGTTTCTGTGTAATTATTTTGGTTGTAAGCTAGCCGGGTGGGACAGAACAAGGGGCCCTGCTTCCTACTACACACGTAAAAGCCAAGCAGGCATGGCAGACTTCTTGCACTCCCAAAATTTAGGAAACAGAAAAAGGGAATTCTCCAGGTCAAGTTGGCTAGCTTGACTAGCCAAACTGGTAAGCTCTTAGTTCAGCAAACTCCAGACTCAGAGAGACTATCCCTTAAAAAATAATTTCAGAGTTTATGGTCAAATCTTATGCAGTACAACCTCTCCAATATAAGTAATATAATTGTATATTTATTTGTTAAGATACATATATTTAAGAGAGAAAGCCAAGTAATAAAAATTATAGTGTGTCAAGTGAAACATGTTTGAAATTTACAAACATATCTATCATCTGTCATCTATCTATTTTATTAAAAACATTCACAAAAACATTCTTGAATACTGGTGAAACAGTTCAGACGTTAGCCAGTTATTGTCTTTGAGTGACAATAACAGACTTGCATTATTATTTTTCTTCATGAATCATATAGTATTTTGACTCACCTTATGATCTTTCAATACTTGAGTGATAAAACAACATAAATAAAATAAAAAACTTTTGATAATCGCTACATAACCTGTTATAAGTTTTTTCTCTCATGTTGATAGTCATGCAACATGGATGTGGACCTACAGAAGTGAATCAGGGAGCTGGAGGGAAACCATCCAGGCCGAGAGGAATCTTAGGTGTTGCCATATATACATATACAAACAAAATGTCTAGCAGTCGTTTACCCCAAATAATACTCTAGTGGCATTTGTTTGTATCAATAAACTTGGGATCTAACACCAAATCAGTAATCTCCTGATGGGTACAAATTTGACCTTGTTGTCCTAATGATAAGCTGTTTGTCCTAAATGACAAACTATAGAGATAAAAAGTGATAAATATGCAATAATTATTTTTAAATATAACTTCCCAATAACGTATCCAAATAAAATAGCTTCAGTTAAACCTTAATATATTCTTGAGACCTTTTATGTGGAAAATCATGACCTATGGAAGTATTTGAACAATTTGATGCATGTATTAGGTTTTATTGTTAATTGACAGATTTTTTAAAACTACAAATCAATTTCTAAGGTTTATGAGTTAGTTTACTTCTTTTAAATTGAAAGAACATGTTAGAAATAAAAGTATATGCCACAGCACCTGGCTTGTTTTAGGTCTTGAAGAAGGAGGAGAAACGCCTGTAAAATGGATACCATTATCTGCTAGACTACTCTAGAGCCAAATTGTTGTGTATGGCAATGACTTATGAACTTTTCATTTATTCATAAATAGTTTTAGTTCTCTACTCAACCTCTACATCCTTAGGTTTTCTTATCTGTGAAATAGGAAAAATAAGATTACAGTATTTCTAAAGTATTAGATAAGCTAATTTGTATAGTGAATTAAAAAAAATACCCTAAGCTTATACCATATGCCCAACAAATGCTATTCATTATTAGTGTCTGTATTTGGGAATAAACAATGTTGTGTTTCACCTTCTGAAATAGCAAATTAGTGTAAGTCAGAAGCACATAAGTGAAAGACTGTGAAGCCTAAGGAAAAACAAAAAATGGTAACAAAGAACTTCAGTTTTGATACTCATACAAACTATTAATTCATTGAAATAACTAAAATATGCAGGATGACATTTGACAATTAAAATGCATGCTTTAACAAGGAAAACAGCATGTTGCAAAATTTAAACTTAATTTGCATGCACATAAAACATTTTTTGCACCTATATTGCTTTATCATTTGTTGAAGATGATCCTGTGTGGAGCATCTCCAT